CATGTCGGCGCGAGACAGCGCCAGCCCACTTCTGCCGGATCTCATGTCGTCCACTGCCTCTCAGCGTTCCAGCACCTCCACCACGTCTTCAGGGCTCTCTGGACACGCTCCTCGGCATCCGCTCACGCATCCCATTCAGGGTACGCGCGAAAGTCGCGCCAAATCGACCTTGGGAGAGGCAACTACGTTGCTACCCTCGACTCATCGTCCGGAACCGGTCCGATTGTACGAGCCTCCGATGATGTCGTGTAGCGCTAGTGCTAGCACCAACGACGCCGCCCGCTCTCACATATCGGCCAGTGAATTGGAGGCAATCGCAAGCGCGACAGAGGAGGCACTCTCGCCACCAACCAGGCTCGACGAGGCTTCGAGAGAGCGACTGCAGCAAGCAGCAGCCTATGCCAATGTTGGTCAGACCTTGCCAAGCTCTTCGGTCGCTCCCGAAGTTGCCCCGCTCCCTCCTCATGCGTCTTCTGGAACCGGCTTCTCTGCTGCCGCGGCAACAGGTGTCTCCGCTTTTGCGACGGCAGCAGGCGCTCCACCCGCGGACGCTCTGTCGGCTTACTCAGAGCGCCGGCCAGCAGAAACGTCCGTCAGCAACCAACTCCAAATTCTCGAAGATCCGCCACGATTATCCATGTCTTCGGTTGAGAGCAGCGTCGCTAGCGAGATAACGACACCTGAAGGGCCTATCCCGAAGGCGTGGAGAGACGCAGGCCCCCCACCGGCCTTGGGAAGCGGAATCGAGCAGGAAGGTCTCGCCGACGAGCTCGCACAGTCGAGCGTGAGCGAAAACGTCCTCGACGCTCGCAAAAATGCGACGCTCCGTGCCCGACCCCCTGTCCATCGGTTACCTAGCAGCTCGAACACAGACGACACAGCCCGAGCTTCGCCACCCGCGACGACTAGCTCGAGCTCCAGCGCCGTGCAGACTCCTGCGGCCCAAAGGCCCAACCCTCTTGAACGTGAACTTGGTCTAGATTGGCGGCCCTCTCGCAGCCATCGAGCAGATCGGCGTTTGGATTTTAGCCGTGATGAGGTGTCTCAGGAGGAAGCGTCGGCCACGAGCGACAGCAACCAGCTGCGACGACCTTCGCATCACATGCCTGTCTTCATGTCCGACGAGTCCGTGCCCACGATGTCGAGTCGAATCGACTCGACAATGCAGCCGGGACACCTTTCACACAGGCCACAGAGCAGCGCAAGTGGACGTGATCTGCCACAAGCACTAGCTTCGCCCCGGGGCCTCGCACACGCGGACCACGCATCAGCCGCTGACCCGCTCGAGTTTGGAAAGGCGAGTCCAGACTCGTGGCGCAGTCTGCTGCCGGAGCACGATCCCTTCTTCGTTGCGCCAGGGGCTTCCAGTGGCAGTCAAAGCCCCGGCGAGGCTGGTAGCACCTCCGGCCACTCAGTGGCTGGAGTCGGCAAAGATGGGCAGAACCGCAAGCGCGAGTCTGTCAGCAGCATCGCGGGCGCTGGCACCTTCGACTGGAGGCGATTGTCCAGTGGCAGTCAAGCCAGCACGTTGAGCAGCTTTTCGCTTCCTGGTCCGACCGCTGCACAGCCATTGGCGCCCATGTCTCGTTTGCCAACCAGTCCAAGCTGGCCCGACCGAGACTCGTGGCGATCTTTCTTGCCCGAGAATGATCCCAGAAGCTCACGGTCCTCTATGCCCTCTGGAGCTGGAGCTTCGAATCCCGACTCACCTGGCATGCTCTCAAGCTCACCAGCTTCACCTGGGCTCAGTCCCATCGCAGACTATGGCAGTGGCGCGAGAGGTGCATTTGGCTCGCTAGACAGCGTCGGTCCTGGCATCGGTATTCTCAACACAGATGACCCGGCCGCGTTGGCGGCTGCCAAACGGCATGCTAGTTTCTCGATGTTCGATCGTGACTCTCGCGATGGTCTCAGAGGCGCACTTGCCCGGACTCAGAGCGGAAGCCAAAGTGCGGGTCGGCCCTCAGCGATACTGCAAAGTCTGAATCAGAACCGAAGTACCGGCCATTTACCAAGAGAGGCTGGCTCCGGCGGCACTTTGCCCAGTCATGCGCACTCGACGCACTTCCGAGCGCCTACAACAAGCTTGAATCAAGCTGCTGTCGGGCTAGCTGCAGCTTTTCCGACTCCGTCTCCCGGCAATGCAGCACCAGCACTCAGATCCCAGCTGAGCGGTTCCGTATCGACTCGAGCGTCCACAGGTATGCAAGATGCAGAGGAGCGCGAAAGCTGGCCTTGTAGCAGAAGCAATTCTTCTTTACCGTCAACGGTTGCGAGGGATGAAGCGACATCCGTGTCCAGTCGTCAAGATGAGGAAGGGTTCATCACAACGACCACCACGACCAGGACGACCACAACAACTCGCTCGTTTCCCATACCTCAAGGCACTATCAGGACGAGACATGCGTCTGCATCATCATCTGCCACACCGATGGGGCCAGCATCGCTGAGCCAGAAGTTGGGATCTATTGTGGGTAGCAGCGCCAGCAAAAGCTCCGCTCCATCTGCACCTGCACCAGTCATGCACGGGGGTGAATCACTGTCGCGAAGCATGTCCCACAACGCCACGTCCCAAGCCTCGCCGTATAGCGTCTCGCCGCTTTCGCCTCCCTCTCTACCGTTCTTGGATCATCGGCCTGCGCCACCGGAGACGCACCTGTCGATAGAGACGTCCAATGTCTGCTATACGCTGATCACATCTCTGCCTGGCTTTAGCCTCGATGCCATTACGCTGGCAACGAAACACCATAGGCAGCTGGTGATTGTCGCGGATAAATGGGATGAAGCGACGGGCGGCCACTTCGAACGTCGGGTGACTTTTGGTCACGACGCTGATCTCAAACGCACTACGGCTAGCTTTGATGGTAGTCAACTCAAAATCGTAGTACCGAAGCGCGGCATAGCACCGAGCGTACCTCAAGCTTCGCGCACCAGCCCGTCAGGCACAGCAACCCGATCTACGAAGGATCTGAGGCCTAGACTAGCCGATGCGGCCCCATGAGGAAGCGTCGGTCTTGTGACGATCGCCTCACAAAGAATGTCCGACATGCTGCCATGCCACTGTCGAAGGCATTACATCAAGAGCATGTCGTCCCTGCCGTTGTGGATTGCAAATCCCTTGCCACCACCGTTGGCCCACTCCACTCCCCATTATTCAGCTCCCGTCTCTAGCCTCTCTGCCGCGCTTCAATCACCTTGCAACCACGCACTGATTCGCGCCCGTGACATTGCATCAGACATCTATATTTGACAATGGCAACGTATCTGCAAAAGGTCTTGAGCAATGACTGCCCTGCCGCGACTCGTGTTGTGCAATTGTGGATGGATCTGCTTCGCTCAGATCCATGATTTGGGAGACGGTAAGGCGAGCGAGCACGAAGGCGACGCTTGGATGGCAGTCAAGGCACGCGCAATGCGCCGCGCGTGCGTGGTCCCCGCGCGATCGAGCGCGGCCCAGCTCACAATATATATGTATGCGTGGTACATCCGCCGCGTCTCTTGCACCGTGGCTGCACGGCT